TCTATAAACAACTACACACTTTGGTGCTCTTAGGTCAGTTAGCTCTTTCGAGCAAATGGCTTCGCCTATTTTTTGGATCCCTCCTACCCTCTTCCTTTGTTTTTAGCCAAAAAAAAATGGTACCACCATCCCTAATCCCACATATATATGGTGGATCCTCAGGGATCAAAACTTAGCTACAGCATTATGTTCCACCATAACATCATCTGTGCTACCTTACATCCTTCATCTTGATTCCACATGTTCCATTTGGGTAACGCTTGAGCTCAGGTTTCAATCCACCAATAGATCTAGGGTGATCCAGCTCAAAAGTGAGTGTCACATCTCCATGAAAAATCTATCCATGGCATAATACCTAACAAAAATCAAAACTTTAGTAGATCACATTATAGTTGCAGTCTCTATGGTGGACACTGAGGATATTGTCCTTTACACTCTAAATGGACTTCCACCTTCATATCAAGCATTTAAAACCTCATTCAAAACCATATTAACACCCGTAAACCTTGAAAAACTGTATTTCTTACTTATGAGTGAGGATATCAACATTGCGGCAGAGGATACCCGACCTAATATCACCATATATCCTCATACGACACTCTATACTTATAGAGGTTGAAGAAGACGTGACAGGGGCAGTTCTCCACCAAACTCAAAATTCTCTCCTTAATTTGCCACATCTTCGACTTCAGTCTGTCAATTATGCAACAAGAAGGGACACTCTCACTGAGTTCCTCGAGAAGCATGGTATACATCACCAAATTTCATGCTCATATACCCCAAAACAGAATGGCATGTCTGAGCGCAAGCATAAACATATCCTAGACACTACTCATACTTTATTACATACTACATCTGCCCCTATCACTATTGGCAAGATGCAACCCTTCTAACCACATATCTCATTAACCAAATGCCTTCTTCAACCACAAATAACATTTTCCCACTTCAACTCCTCTAGAATATTCAACCATTCTGCACTCATCTTCGTACATTTGGATGTGAATATTTTCCTCTCATTCCTTCTCCACTTCACCACAAACTATAACCAAAATCAAATTCTTGTGTTTTCTTTGGCTACTCAGGCTCTTATAAATGCTATAAATGCCTTGATCGGAATACTAATCATGTCCATCTCTTGATACACGCTACGTTTGTTCAATTCTTTTCCATTTCAATAGACTACTCCTCCCACCCATAAATCCCACACATTTTCACCACCATCTCTTCTTATAATTATCTCCACCATACAACCTACTACTATCTCCACCATATAACTTACAAAACCACCTATACCATCAGATCTATCCCTTTCTGATCCTCTGCAACCCATTAATCTTCCATCCACCAAAGTAGCCTTGACTCCCACTGTCTCACTTGCAACCTCTAAAATGACATCCCATGATTACTAGGCAGTAAACAAGATCACTTAAACCTTGAACTCGGCTCATTCTACTTCACAAACAAACCTCTCCTTCTCCATCTTCTGAACCTACAACCTATTCTGATGCTATTAAAATTTAAGAATTGAGAAAAGCTATGACACATGAGTTTTTTGCTCTATAGAAATAGGGCACTTAGCTTCTAGTACCACAACCACCGAATGTTTCTATTCTGAAATGCAAATGGACTTATTATACAAAATACCATTTGGATGGCTTAGTGACATGTCTCAAAGCCCTCCTGGTAGCTCTCGGGAATCATCAGGAACAAGGCCTCAATTACAACGAGACCTTCAACCCAGTGGCAAAGCTACCCACTATCCATGTAATGCTTACTATCGCTCTACATCATCAATTATCGATACATCAAATGGATGTATCCAACACGTTTCTTCATGACAATCTCACTGAAACTGTCTAGATGGCTCAACCAAAAGGCTTTGAGGACTCAACCAATCCAGATCATATTTATCTCCACCACAAGACTATTTATGGCCTAAAACATGGGCCACGCTAATGGTATACAACTTTTACCACATTTCTAATATATTTGAGCTTCAATCATAGTAATTATGATCTGTCTCTTCTCATCTTTACTCAAAATCAAGTTCAACTATATCTTCTTATTTATATTGATGATATTCTTCTTATAAAAAATGACCAATCAACCATATCTAATCTCCTCCACCAACTTGATCGAAAGTTTACCATGAAGCATTTAAGACTGGCTCATAACTTTATTGACATTCAAATCATCTCTCACAACAATCAATACTTTTTATCACAACAATCATATACCCTCTCCATCTTACACCAACATCAACTCACTAAATGTAATCCACTAGCTAACCCTACCTAATAAAGCTACTGTCCAATGGCCCACCTAAGCCCAAGCCCTTCGAACCCTGTCTATATTATAGAATCACAGGCTCACTCCAATGTTTAACTATCACACATCCTGATATAGCTTTTTTCATCAATCTCGTCTCCCAAAACATGCAACATCCTCTACCAAACCATGACTATCTATTGAAAGAACTCCTTTGCTATATCAGAGAAACTCTCTACTTTAGCATAACCATAACCAAAGGTCATTTACATCTCACATCCTTCTTAAATGATGACTTGGCAGGTGATTCTGTGTCTAGAAAATCAACTTCAGGTTATTGCTCATTTCTTGGAAGCACACTCATGTCCTGGAATGTAAAGAAGCAACACACCGTGGCCAGATCTTCCACCGAGTTAGAATATCGAGCTCTATCAACTGCAACTGCCAACATTCTATGGCTTTGGTGTCTGGTGAATGACTTCTAGATTTAAATCGACCAGACCACCAACTTATACTACGACAATACGTCTGCTATCGATCTTGCAAATAATCTTGTCTTCAATGCTAGAATCATGCATATAGAGATAGGTCATAGATTCATTTGGGATCACATCAACAATAACAATATCAGACAACTTCTGATCAGTACAGTGGACTGGGTCACAGATATCTTTACCAAACCACTAACAACACCATGATTCCATCAGCTTTGTTTCAAGCCAACAGTCTTCTCGGATCCATCATCTTATAGGGGTGTAATAGAGCAGTCACCATAATCACTGTCACCGTAACCACCCACATGCTATAAATCATTCCAAGCTCTTGAACATAAAACAAACTATTTCATCACAATCGTATACATGTCAAGACCTGGGTCTATATATACAATTATATTGCTACTATAGAAAGAAATGGAAAAGATCATTATCTCATTTAGCATTTTGTCATTTCATTATATATTCATCTCTCTTATACTAACACTATAGTGCAGACATTAAGATCACTTTAAAAATTGAGCGATTTGATTTTGAGGGAAATGGTCTAAAATGAATAAGCCAGTTTTAAATATATTAGTATTCAAAGTGGTTTAGTATGATTCAGAATGAGTTGATTCAACTCAATTTACTTTAATTTGAATTAATTCCATTAGATCTAACCCAACCTGATTCTAAAAATAAGATGATGAAGACCATAAATTTTATTTAAAAAAAAAGGTCAACAAATTTCCTTCCAATATGTGTAGTATGATGAAGTATATTGCACATATTTGCATTGACCAAATCAACAATGTCCAAGGGAATTCAATTTTGATTTTGATTTTCAGACCTCAATTGGGTAATGGATTTAAAATTTATTTTATATTTCCATCTTGTATTTTGATTTTAAGTTTTGAAATTTTATTGAGTTTGTGATTTTGAATAGAGTTTAAACATTCGATTTGCAGTTTGATTTGATTAAATTTTGTTAAGAATGGATTTCTAAGAAAGTGGCCTAAAATTCTTTATCCTTTCCTAGAAAGATTTAGTCCTAAAGAGAGGATGAGTTTTATCTAACTTTGAAGAACCAAGAGACTTCTTTTAGATAGCAAAAGGGTTCCTTTCTGTCCCAGATAACCTTAACAGCTTGTGAATATTATGATGGGGATTATAAGCTTCTGTACTTGTCATTTTCCTTAGAAAGAAGATAGAAATTTGGTACCGGTGGTCTTTGTTTGAACACTAGGAAGGGACTTAAGAGATTTTATCCTACACTAGCGAGAATAACCCTATGGAAAAGAAGAACGGGAACTTAAACCTATCCTTTCAAGAGTGTGCAAGTTCATAGTTGACAGAACTAGTGAGGTGTCATGAGGTGTCATGAGGGCACTAGCCAATTTAGTCTTAAGGAAAGGAAGCATGAGGACTCACACCTAATCTTAAAATATAAGAGAATTTCATTTTTATTTTATGATGGAAGCAATGGAGGCTTGATCTGACACCATCAAATATAATCTTAAGGAAATGAAGCACTTGGACTCATACCTATTCTAAAAAAAGGTTAGAGAGTTTTCTTTTTTCACTAGGATGGTGCCATGGGGGGTTGCTCCAACACTAGCAAATCTAATACTAAGAAAAAGAAGCACATGGACACACACCTAATCTTAAAAGAATAGAATGGTGCCATGGGGGCTTACTACAACACTAAAAAAATCTATTCCTAAGTAAATGAAGCAAGTGTATTAACACCTAACTTTAAAAGACTAGAAAGTTTATTTTGATGTTAGGATGGTGCTACAGGGGCTTGCTCCAACACTAGCAGATCATGCTCAATCACTCAATCAAGACAAGTGTTTTGTGTACTAGTTGGAATTTTAATAATTATGTTCATATATTATTATAACTATTCTTTCATATATTTTTAAATTATTTTTTTATAAAAGCCTTATATGTTGTTTTTTATGTAGCTTTCAAAACTATATAAATATATGTTCAAAATATCATTTCTGTACACCTACATTAAAATGTACAGTAATTTGAATATTTTGAGTTGGACATAAAATCTCAAAAAAATTCCATTTACAATTCTTTGTCTCCCTCTCTTATTTCTCTACTTGAACCTGGCGTTTAGCGAATCGAGCTTGGCTGTTGCCCCAACCATCTTGGATTTAACACCTTGAGGAATAGAATCGATTGCTTTATATGATATCAGCCATTATGTCATTTGCTAAAATATAACGCGTCAACAACGAATTTAACGAACAATAATCCAACTTTAAAGATCGACAACAATCCTTTCTTATTCCATACTGACACCTTATCTGGAATCTTAGCATGCAAACATATTATTAGACAAGACTTGTAACATAAGGCACACATCAACTGCTTGAGATTAACCCGAACATGTTGATTTGGCATATTCCCTTACATATATGTCGAAAGGAACGATGAAGATCCTCAATCTTAGTTCCTTCTCATCTTCTTCATCTTTTAGTAATTTTGCTTCAATGTGGATACAAAAAAGAGGCATTGGGTTTAAAACTGAGCACATCTGTGCCCTCATTCAGTTGAGCTTTAGGTATCTCAGCCTGCAAGCCAACAAAATTAAAAGAATTAATCAACTTTACTCTGTTCAAAAATAAATTATGAGGGGCAGAGAATTTTAATAGGAAAAAGAGTTGCCATGTCCTGCTTTATCAACTAATTATGTTTTAACAAAGTCTAATGAGAACCATGTTTATAGTCTAAAGTGATGTCTGTCTGTCTTCGGATCAAATTTCATGTGAGTTGGTGGGCTCAATTGCAGACAAGGATAAGGACTTTGCGCTGAATGTGCAGGCATAGTTCATGATTTTATTGCATGATAAGCACAAAATTGGAATTACAGACAAGGATAAGTACAAGTTGGGTATTCTAAAAACACCGAAAGCAACTCCTCTTTCCGTTGCTTCTTTTGAGATCATAAGAAAAGAACAGATTTGTGCTAGTGGAAAAGCAGAGGATATTAGGTCATGCGGTCCATAGGAGTGGTCTGGGGACCATAACTATAATAGTTCAGGGATAAGAGAAGAGAGGATGCACTATTAAAATGTCCTTTTATTGAAATGTTTCGAAGTGATTGAAATAAGTAACAAGAATATCTTATAGTTTAATTGGAGAGATTATTACGTGCGAAGGGAATCCGGACGTATTTAGAGGTCAATTCGAACGTGCCACCTCATCCAATGTTGTGTATTGGGTGATGTGCCATGTCTGGATTGGTTTTGAGAGTCAGGGGCAATGAGAATTGACCTATTTTCTGGTTGCATATAAAAATATTTATTTATTTGATGCACACAGTGCATTGGATGACGTGACGCATTCGAATTGACCTCCAGATACGTACAGACGCTGCACAGAATGATCTATCCTAAATTTGCAATCAAATCTCTCCTTTATAAAAAAATAAAAAGGGACACATCTTTATTAATTTTATAACAATTAAAAAGTGCTTTAATTCAGTTTTCCTACATGATCCAAAGCATTTTTATCTTTAAACAAATTGGCCATCAGCGAAGGAACTATCAATAAAACAAGCACGGAGCTGTAGTTTAAATAAATGACCGAGGTCCGTACTAAGCTGTAAAAAACCGTCCATAAGAATTTAAAAAAACACAATTCTCCTTGGCCTTTTGGTTGAGAGCTTAGGCTTCCAACTAAGAGGTCCAAGATTCGAGTCTTTGTGTATGGGTTGTGTGTGTGAGTTTGCCTTAATTGGCCTAAATGTCCCAAAAAAAAAGAATTTAAAAAAAAAACAGTGGAAGAGAAGTTAGAATAAAAGCAAACGACCTCGACTCCTCTTCGGTAACAGTGTTCCTGGCACCGGAGGATTTGTAATCTGGGGCTGGGAAATGGCCAGACTCAATATACTTGAGATCCTCAACAAGAAGTTCGTAGTGGAGTTTCACCTCCTCCGCCGTCTTACCTCCGACGGCTCGGGCCACATTTTGCCACCGGTCCGGCGTGTCCTTGTCATACACTGCAAGTGCTCGCTCGAAGAGCTTGTTCTGCTTCTGTGTCCAGGTTGAAGATGAGTTCCTTGAAGCCATTAATTGTGAGTAGTGAAACTGCGGGAGTGCTTGGATTGATGGTTGAAGAGTGGGAAGCAGGTGGGTTTCTTATATGGAGGAGAAGGGAGTTGAACTGAGCTGGAAATGGAGGTGGAGCCAGTTGGAGAATATCACTTAGGGAAAAGCTGGGCGTGGTGGTGGAATAAGGACATACTAGTTTAGTTAATAGCCACAAGATTGAGCGAGAACAATGCGGAAGAATCTGCCTTACCATGGCAGAGAATGAGATAATGTTCCCCTGTTTGCCTTAGGCACTCAATTATTATGTGTACTATGTTTATATTTGTTTGTGAAAAAGTTTAAGTCGAGATTTTCTTTAGAAAATGTATGAGAATGAATTTCAAAAAAATTTTCTTTTAAATTGAGATTAATATAATTTAAAATATCATATAAAATATTTAATTGAAATTTAAAGATTTTAAATATTATTCTTATTTATTTTTATAAAAATATTATGACATACTGTTTTTCCTATTTGCTGGACTTGATTCAGGATAATAGACATATATATTATTGACAAGAATATTATTGCCAAGAAATACATAATTGACATTATATTTATGTGTATTTATTGCCAAGGATGTAGAGGATATAGAGATAAGAGATATAGATTCTGATATGATATGGACATAAAATATTTCTATAATTAAAAGTAAAAAATTTATAATATAAATATATATTTGGCATTATATATTATTTATAGACAATAAATAGATGCAAAATTCATATGATTAAATTTTTATCTCAATGAAATAAAAAAATAATACTGAAAAAAGAGGGTGTCAAAACAAACTAATTATCAAAGTATTATGCAAATATTTTTTTATCATTTAAGTGTCCTATTGATGTTAGAATTAAGCAACATGGGCTTAATGGATTTGTTTTGTTAAACCACTCAATTCTATGTTAAATATGCAAAATATGTAGATCATATGGTTATCAAATTAATGTCTTGAAGTTTCTAATTATTATTAAGACTCTTAATTTGTACTAATTAGGACTCAAACTGGACTATATTTGATATTGTTGTGTTTGTCTCATCTAAACATTTAGTTTACCAACAAAGTTTGCCAAAATTAGACTTTATATGGTTTTAAATTTAATTTAGAAATTTCCAGTTCAAATATGGCCTGAGAATCATGCCTAATCAAGGTGATTTTTGATGATTTACTATTTTTTATCATATTTTTAAACATCAAAACATGTGGAGTCTAAAATAATATTTCTAGTCTTTCCAAGAAGTTCTCATTGCAAAATTTTAATTAAAAAATAATACAAGGAGTGATAGCTCCCTAGTCATCAATGTGGACCTCCCATCAGAGTTATGATTCAAATAAAATATCTTTATTTATAATTTTAACATTTCATGAAGTCGTGTGTTTATCAATGATAAAAATCTTGAAAAATATCTCTCTAAACTTTAAAAACTAATTGCAATTGGCCATATTGGCTTAGTTAGGCTATAAAGTGCCAAAATATAATCTAGAACATCATAAAATAGTTTTGGGTACTCCAAAATTATTGAAAATTTCCCATCCAGGTTAAAGAATAGGCCAAGACATGTGTGAATGGTCAAGTGAATTGGTTACTACTTGTTACCAATGCATACATTTCGTATGTCATGCAGGGCACTTGCAATGCCCCCTTCTCAAGATGCTGATATTTTTTTATTTAATTGCGCACCCCATTTAAACATCATTATATATATAATATTTCAAAATTTTAATTAAAAAAAACCCAAGGTGTGATAGCTCCCTAGTCATCAATGTTGACCTCCCATCATAGTCATGAATAAAATAAAATATCTTTATTTATAATTTTAACATTTCATGAAGTCATGTGTTTATCAATGAAAAAAATCTTGAAAATATCAGCCTAAAGTTTAAAAATTAATTGAAATTGGCTATAGTGGCCTAGTTAGGCCATAAATTGCCAAAATATAATCTAGAACATCATAAAATAGTTTAGGGGACACCAAAATTGTTAAAATTTTCACATCTAGGTTAAAGAATGGGTCAAGACATGTGCTAATGGTCAAGTGAATTGGTCACTACTTGTTACCAATGCACACATTTCATATGCTTACAGGGCACTTGCAATGCCCCCTTCTCGAGATGCTAATATTTTTTTATTTAATTGGGCACCCCATTTAGACATCAATGTGTGCCTGACCTTTCGATCTTTAAATATCCCCCTAAGGAAAGGGAAACGCATGGTTTTCTCACACTAGTTAAATTTTCTCTAATAATTTGAGGGGAAAATATTTTGATAGTGATTTAAAGAATATCAATGGCCTCAAAGGTTCAATCTTCTGACACAAGCTTTGATTCTCCCCCATAAAAGGAGAGAAAATAATGTAGTAGGAGTTTGAAGTCTATTTATAATTATAAAGGCTTAGTCTTCTAATGTTCATTATTATAATAGGAAGTGTGATCAATGTTAAAGAGCTGGAAATACTTCTAGAAGAAATGAGATGACTTTGAGTTATGGGTTAGAAGTTAAGTTATTTGATTTTTGGGGATTAAATTTTATGGGACTATTTGTTCAATCTCATGGATGCAACTATATTCTATTAATATTAAACATTTATCAAAATGGATTGAAGGAATGGAAGCCCCTAGAACTAATGCTCAGGTTGTGCTTAACTTTTTAATGAAAAATATTTTTTCTAGATTTGGAATACTTAGAGAATTAATCAGTAATGGGGGACATCATTCATAATAAGAGAGTAAAAAATAACACTAGTTAAATATGGTATTCATTATAGGGTTATAATAAGTTATCATCCACAAATTAGTGGCTAAGCTAAAACAAGTAATAGAGAGATAAAAAAAATTATAAAAAAAAACTGTTAGTTTTAATAGGAAAGACTAGGTTATTGAACTAGATTATGTATTATGGACCTATAGAACTACTTTTAAACCCTCTATTTGAATGTTTCCCTATAGGCCAATATTTGGAAAAGCATGCCACCTTCTTATAGAATTAGAGCATAAGGCATTCTATATAGTGAAAGAATTAAATTTTAATCTTAAGGGAGCAAAAGAAAAAAAATATTAAAGTAGTTGAATAAATTAGAAGAATTTAGACACAAGGCTTATGAAAATGCCAAGATTTGTAAAGAGAAAATTTAAAAAAAAGGCATGATGTAAGCTTATTAAGAAAAAATTTATCCCTATACAAGAGGGTTATCTTTTTAACTCTAGATCAAAATTATTTCTAGGAAAACATAAGTTTAGGTAGTCTAGCCCATTCAATATTACCAAAGTATTCCCCTCTTAAGCCGTTGAAATTCAAGATAAGAAGACCTTGCACATTTAAGGTCAATGGCCATAGGTTGAGGCCTTATTTGGGAGGAGATATTGACTGTCAGAGAAATTATTACACTAAATTAGTTCATCCTTAAAAAAGAATGATTGGCATAGTCTAATTGAATTCTATAAGCTTAGCGCTGATGGGAGGCAACCCAATTATGTTTTGAGTTTGAATTTATTTTTAATTATCTAGTTCTTCTCATGTGTGTTATGGTATGTTTTTTTTTTTTTTTTTGTGATATTCTTTGTTTAATTTTTGTTTAATTTTTTTTCTTTCATTTACATTTGATTAAACTTCATACATAAGCTTAACCATTAAAAATTATCTTCTACATAGTACTTGGACTTTGGTTTCTTATTTAGCCAAAATAAATATATTAATTAAAAATTATTCAAAATTAATTGTAATTATATATCCCTAGATGTTAATTTGTATGCAAGCTAAAAAGCTGGTGTTGAGCCAAAATCAGATTTTAAGATTTCTCAAGAGTTGGATTCACAAAATACATCTCCCAAACAATATTTTGAACAAAAAAGAGCTAATATTGGGAACATATGTGCTAATATGTCTACCATCCAAAATTTTGATGTAAAGATAAATAAAAAGTTTTCTAGTTTGTTGAAATTTGATGGGTTTTCCAGATTTAAAGTTTTCTAGTTTGTTAAAAAGTTTTCCAGATTTAAAGATTATAATCCTTGGGTTTCTTCTACATCCTCCACTTCTTCTACACTAGACCCTCCAGAATTATGAGATTCATCAAACACAACATGAGTGGTCTCCTCTACTACTAGTATTCTTTTATTGAAAACTCTATAAGATTTCTCAACACTTGAGTAACATAGGAATACTCCTTCAGATTTTGGGTGAAACTTTTCATAGTAGAGATTTTACATTATTCATAATAAACACTTTACATCCAAAGACATAGAGGTGAGAGAGGTTGGGTGTTCTACCCTTCAGAATTTCGTAGGGTATCTTATTCATCTTGGATCTAATATTTATCCTATTTAGAACATAACATATTGTATTCACCGCTTATGCCCAAAAGTATTTTGGAAGTTAGTATTCAGCTAACATGGCTCTAGTGGCTTTTACAAGGGTCCTATTCTTTATTTCAGGTACCCCATTTTGCTGAGGGGTTCTAAGAGTTGAAAAGTTGTGATCTATCCCTTTCTCCACACAAAAAGATTCAAATTTTTCATTCTCAAATTCTCCATCATGATCATTATAATTAGTAAGAATTTTACAACCTAGCTTCTTTTGAATCTAACTGGAAAAAGATTTAAACTTCTCAAATGATTCACTTTTATGAGATAAGAATATAACCCAGGTAAACCTCGAATAATCATCAATAATCATATATCCAAAGACTTTCCCTCCTAAGCTTGCAATGTTGACAGGTCCAAAGAGATACATGTGTAAGACTTCTAAGGGTTTGCTAGTGTTTATGTCTTTTTTTAAGTGTAAAGAGGATTTGACTTATTTCCCTAATTGACAGGCATCACACATATGGTCTTTTGTGAATTCTAGTTTAGGAATTCCTCTCAGTAAGTCTTTTTGGGTGATTTTTCTAAGATTTTTCAAGCTTGCATGACACAATCTCCTATGATATAACCAAGATGCATCAACAATAATTTTTAAGCAAAGAGCAGTGTCATACTTGATGTAATTTAGATCTAGCATGTAGAAATTATTGATTCTCATTTCCTGCAAAATAGTTTTGTTATTTAAGCATATTATATAGCTGGTAGATAAGAATTTGATGTTGAAGCCTTTATCATAGAGCTCGCTTATGTTGAGCAAGTTATGTTTTAATCCATCTACCAGTAAAACATTTTTAATGATAAAATGTTTAGAGTTATCAATTATACCTGACCCCATCACTCTCCTATTGGTGTTATCTCCAAGTGTTGCATAG